GTGATTCAGAAATCTGAGGAGTGGCTAGATTGTTTGGTGTTGAGACCGTTACAGTTCCTGGAGATGTTCTATCAAAATCACCTGTACCATAAAAAATAAATAAAATAAAATAGCCGAAGAGGATGAAATAGGAGAAGTGATCATAAGCATCACAAGAAACTGCCACCTGAAGATAGTATTTCAAAGTTAACTCATCAAGTTCGTCAAACGTCTAAAAAGAAATCATCACAACATAAGCAATCTTGAGTCATGAAATATTTAACACAATAAAACACCAGTGCCAATAAATAAGTTTGCCTTGCATATATAATTATGATACTGTATAAAAGGGCAAAAAAGTCCTACAATTTGCTAGACTTTCCAAGATATAGTAATTTTTCAGTATGCATGTTGTTGGGATTTAAGCATTTAACAAAAAAAATGGTGAGATCCCACATCGATCGGGGAGGGAAGCGAGTGCCAGTGAAGACGCTGGACCTCGAAAAGGGGTGGGTTGTGAGATCCCACATCGGTTGGGGAGGAGAGTGAAGTATTCTTTATAAGGGTGTGGAAACCTCCCCTAGCAGACGCATTTTAAAAACCTTGAGGGGAAGGACTCTTTATATGGGGTGGATTGTGAGATCTCACATCGGTTGAGGAGGAGAACGAAGCACTCTTTATAAGGGTGTGGAAACCTTCCGTAGTAGACGCATTTTAAAAACCTTGAGGGGAAGCCCAAAGAGGACAATATATGCTAGCAATGGGCTTGGGCGGTTACAAAATCACTTCTACTCTCTACCTCATGAGTTACATTATTAGATCCTCAATAGCCAACAACCTTAAACCCCACCCCTTGCCACTAATACTTCCAATAAACAATTCAGATGTTATAAAACAAACCATTTTGCATTCCAACACGAGGCAAGGACCTAGAAAACCGATAATTTCATGATACCACTCACCAATCAAAGTTTAAGAACAGAGGAATAAATCCATATTTTCATAAGATAAGCAATTAAATAACATGGATTAATAGCGAAACGAGTAAGGAATCATAGGAGTGAAGAGTTCTCTAGAGCAGATGTGTACTAACTATGAGCTTGCAGCACTGATAGATTTTAAAAACGAGAAGAAGCAAAGTAACATTTCATAGCTAAAAGAACTATACAAACCATTAGTGCCTAAAAGCTCATCGCCAAATGTAACACGACCAGATTCTTCAATTTCTCCATCCTGAATGCAAGCAATAGGAACGAAACATTAGATACAACTTTCCACCAGTCACCATACAAATAAGATGGAAGTTACAACACATATTTCCATAGAAGAATTCTCTCAGATATGCCAGCTTAATTCTCCTAAAGCTGAACTAAACAAACATCTTCTTCAACACGTGGAACCGTCCATCTTTGTTCATTTGATTAATATATTTAATATCCCGTTGTAATTTTAGCCAACGACGGTTACAACCTTCGCGATGTCAACAATAAGAGGAATGTAAATGAAAATTTTCAAAGTTAAAAGTAGAGGCTTCCGTTTCTCAACAACCAAGTAGAGATGTTGAAAGTACCTCAGCCTCAGGAGACATTGCGGCTTCATCATTACCGTAATCAACTATCACAAGTGTCCCCCTTCTCCTACCAGAATTATCGAATTGACCAGCTTGTAATAGCATTGGCGACGATGAAACCACAACCTGCGTCGGTTGCGGTATGGATGACCCGAATTTGAGCTTAGCTGCAGTCGAATTTTCATCAGACACCGGCAGCATCGAGTAATCAGCAGAATCACTGATAATCACTCCATCACTGTTCGCGACCGACTCTTCTTCTGCAACCCTAACTCTACCATAATCTTCTTCTACTCCCTCTTCTTGCCTCTCCTGCTGCTGCATTTCACTGTCTTCTTCTTCTTCTTGGTCTTCAACGTCTTCCATCTCATCATCCTCGTCATTGTACATCGAGAGTAAAGCTATACCTTCGGATTCTTTCTTCTTCGATGCCATGAGAGCTTCGATTCTCGACACCCGGAAGGAATTAATTCAACAACAAAGAAATAGGACTTCAGAAATCGGAAGACGGATCTCAAACGGATGCAGAAATCTTGGTATTTTGAATCAATGTCGATACTAGGGAGAAGGTTTTCAGTTTCCTGGGTGAGCAAATCCAGTGAAAACGAAAATGAAGAAATTTGAAGAAAAAACAGCCGTCTTGTAGATGGTCCATTGTCCATCGATTGGGGGTTTCAGCGGTTAGAAATATTTCGTTTAGGGAATATAGCATAAACGGGCCAAAAGCCTAGATACTAAGTTCTTGGGCTTAAACTGTAAAAGGCCCAATTTAAATTGGACCGGATCACTCATACACCCGAGCACTAAATACGGGTTCTCCAAGAAGAAAACTCATAGACGAAGTAAAATGTATAAAATGGAATTTTTTTTATTTATAAAAAAATAAAAACAAATGGAAATTTATGGTTATATGTTGCCTTTCTAAATATTTTAGGTGATAATGGAAAGAGTTCATGAAATAAAAAAAGGGCGAGGTTCAAACGAAGAAAGGTACGGTGGATACCTAAGCATCCAGAGACGAGGAAGGGCGTAGTAAGCGACGAAATGAACATCGCCACTATCATCAATATATCATTTATAAATTTTTTTAAGCAAGATAGAAAATAAATTTAGTTAAATTTGTTGATGAACGTGTAAAAAATGAAAGTGGAGATTGTTAGACGAACACGACTTTCTACAATTGTATGATATTGTCCACTTCGAGCATAAGCTCTCGTGGTTTTACTTTAGGCTTCCTCAAAAGACCTTATACCAATGGAGAGAGTATTCTTTGTTTATAAATCCATGATCATTTCCTAAATTAGGCAATGTGGGACTTTCATCATCGAACAAAGATTAGGTAAAAATAGAAAAGATACGGTAAACATAGGAAGATCCCTTACTTACTTTTTGACCAATTGATGAACTTCCTTTTTAACTTTTTTGCTTTGTCCTCAAAAAGTGACAGCTTTCAAGAGTTTACACTATTTGATTCATGAAAAATGCCTTCATAACTACGTATAGTAATAATAATTGAACTGTTTTTCTCAGAACTTTTCTAACCAAAGATATTAGTTTTTTTTTTTTTTTTTTTTTTAATTCACACCTTTGATTTAGACTATATAATGTATATTACAGTGTTTGAAATAATCCGTGAAAATAATAGTTTTTAAATAAATTTAGTTTTTCTATAAGCGCTTATGAAAAAAAAAATTAATAATTTAAAATGTGTTTAATACAATTTGAATGATTTAGATGTTCCAAATTATTATTATTCAAATATTAATGAGTAAAAAACACTTAAAAAAAATAGATACTCTCGATAATTTCTTCAAAAAAAAATAATAATTATTATCCAAAATTTTATTAATTTTTTTAAAAATAAAAAACTGTTTGACCACCAAAAATCATTTACTAAGCTATATTAAACACATTTTAAATTATTAATTTTTACATAGGTAATTATTAAAAAATATTTTTTATACAAAAATAGTTCCAAACACGCCCTTATATCCTACCGGATCTTAACATAATTATATAATCAATATTCAGATTTTTTTATAATTTACTAAACTATGTGGTGTGAATCAAATGTGAGTGGGTGTCTACTAAAGATGTCTATTTTACCCTTGGGGTAAGGGCCTTGCAGAAGCGCCTCAAATATGGAGAGATTTCTCAGTTTAAATGAGAAATGAAAGAGAGAGTGGAAAACAATTTTTTTTCTTACATAAATGGGGTCGGTGAGACTATAATTCTAATATTTTGCTAAAGACAATGTTAAAGGTTTTTTTAATTTGAATTTTTAAAATTTATGTTCCTGGAGTTTATATATTGATTTATTATGTTTTTTTTTTATAATTTTTATTAATGAAATTATATTGAAAAATGAAAAGTATAAAATAATTATTTTTAAAAAAGAATAATAAATAGGAAAAAATTACTCATTAGAACCATCTTGAAAAAATAAATAAGAAAACTCGTAGAAATGGAGAATGAAATAGGGGTAGGAATAGAGACAATGAACGTTCCTATCCCCAGACATCTCCAACGCGTACATAAATGCACCACAAGATCCACTAGCATGCACTACTACAGGCCTATCACAATTTCCTAATTCAAATGATTTGACCACGGAATAAAAGCCTATGAACTTATATAGGCTACTAATATTGGCCTTATGAAATTTGGTAAGAAATTAACGACATAAATTCGTACAATAATATTCAAAGAAACCGATGACTTAGGGGCGTAATTAACATCGAATCATTCCTCCAACCGACATTAAAATTAAACAATAACGAAAAGTATAATATAAAGAAGAAAATGGGAATGGACGAGGCATGAAAGTGACACGAAGAAAAACAGAGACGACAGAAGCTAGAAAACAGAAGAAATGGTCAACTTTCCAGAAAGATACGTGAACCCAAAGGAAGCTGCATAAACCGCAGTCCCAGCACGTAACTCTAACCAAGCCCACACATGCACATGCACATGCATATGCATATGCCTATGCCTATGCCTATGGAACCAAAAACAAACATTTTTTTTTTTATAGAACCAAAAACAATCCCATATCAACTGCCTTATCTCCCCCCTATTAACATTTTTTTATAAATATCTTACCACGTTACCTCCACGTCACTATCTATATACACACTATTTAATATATACTTATGCCACGTCAATATAGTGACATTAATAATCAGCAATATAGAATTAAAAAAAAAAAGGTACTAGCACATTAATTTGTTACAAGAAACATTTAACGGAATAGTTTGATAAAGCATACACAAATCCATGATTCATAGTTAATGATCCAATTAAGTGACATTAATTGATTAAGCAATCAATTAGGAAGGATTAAAGTAGAGTATGATTAAGTTAACTTTATACATTAGTATTATTATTAATCATCATTAAGGAAACCCATGCAAGAGAATAAAGCAAATGTGGCTTTGTCTGAGCACAGGAATAAAGCAAAAAGAAAAAGAAAAAGAAAAAGAAAAAAATATATATATGAAGATGAGGGTTAAATAATAAAGTAATTGGATGATGGAAGAGACAAGCCATAAGTGGGATTCTTCTGCCTTCTCCTCGCTCATTTTTTAACGAACCCAAAAAATTTAAAAAAAGAAAAATAAAAAAGTTGTTAAAGCTGGTCAAGAGGCATCTCTGGTAAGGCAAGGCAAGGGACGGGAAGGGGCTAGGCCTCCCCTGTTCCGGAAATGCCTTTTCCTTTTGGGCCACTCCGTTTCGTTTTCGTCGTGTAGTGGTACAGTCGGTAATTTACCGATGAGATGAGGGGTAATTGTGTCAATTTTAAAGTTCACTTCATGGATGTATGTCCTTGAGCAGCCCTAGGACCTGTTGCATTGTAGGCCTTTTTAACGCCGTCTCCGCCGTACACAGATACGCCACACGGAGGCTTTCCACCATCTCCGATTCCCCACTGCCAAGTCGCAATCGTGGATCAATCGCCTCTAAACCTTTTCCCTCTCTTACCATCCTTCTCACTCCCACCACCGTGTTAGCACTGCCGGGCATCCCCGTCAAAAGCTCCATCAATACCACTCCGAAACAGTACACGTCTTTCTCCACGCCCTCGCTGTTTTCCCCGCCGGCATCTCGCAATCCAAACCCTCCAATTCGAGCCTCGAAGTCATCCGCTAGAAAAATATTGGACGTCACCAAATGTCCGTGGACAATCGGTTTCGATCCCGCGTGGTGGAGATACGCCAATCCACGCGCAATCCCCACGGCGATACGGTGGCGCGTCAACCAACCCAACTTCTCCGGTAACGATAAATGGGACCCACTCATTGGATTACTGCTGATCTCCCACGTGTCGGTGCTCCAGTCTTCCACGTTGGGCTGGCCGGTTGGGAGTTCGTGAAGCCACCGGTGGAGGTCACCGTTGGACATGAACTCGTACAACACCAATTTCTCTTGACCTAAAATGGAAGAAAAGGACATAAATTAACTGAGCCATTAATTAGATTTCGACAGTTTTTACGTTGTACGCGGAAGTCAATCAGTCATCTGAAAACGACGGCGCTTAAATTTACAGAAAGAAACAGAGCCGAATTAATTGAATGCTCAGAGAGGTCAAACAATCCAAAACAATAGATAGAGACAACAAAAAATTTACCAGCAATACAGTAACCAAAGAGCGGTAACAAATTTGAATGCTTGAGTGCGGCAAGCTCCTGGAACATGGCTACAGCCTCATCACGAGCAACGGATCTAGCGGATTCAAGAACCTTGATCGCCACGTGGATGTCTCCGGGAAGGACAGCTCGGTACTCAGGCCCACACCTGCCTTCTGCCAGAAGGGACTCTTTACCGAAATGCGACGTGGCAGCAATCAGATCCTTGAAGGTGAGGTTAATCAACGGCTTCTCAAACATCACCACTGGAGCCGAAGATGGTTCCTTGATGTCCGCTATCCAGGAGGATCCTGACTCGGTCTCGAAGGCGAACGGTCCAGATTTGTCCATCTTCAACTGGACTTGGGCGGGCGTGGAGATTGCCCAGTTGATTTTTTGTCTCATCATTCTCTTTCGTCTCCATATCACTAAAACAGCCGTCGCTAAAAACAAACATACTGCACCAGACGACACGGCAAGAATCAGCGGCTTCGTTTTCGATTTGGGTTTGGCCTTTTTCGCCGGTTCTGTTTTGGGTACGTGTGATTGGATGGTATTGTTATGATGAGGATTTGGGGCGCCTCTGGTTTTCATTTGAACTAAAGTAATCCCAGTTTGAACAAACGCTGATTCCCCAAATTTCTCGTAATTCTCTGACCCAATCACTCCCTCAAACTTGTTTATTGAAACATTCAAGAACTTCAATCCATTAAGCGGAGGGAAATCCGACGGAAAATTACCCGTCATGGAGTTACCCGACACGTCTAAATACTCGAGCGAATTAAGAACAGAGATAGGCTTCAAACTCCCAGAAATGTTACACCACGAAACAACCAAGTGTTTCAGATTAGAAAGCTTCTCCAACCCAGATGGGAGATTCCGCAGATTATTCCGCGAGAGGTCCAAAACTTGCAGCCGCGAAAACCCAGAGAGCCGAACAGTATTAGAGAATCTATTATAAGAAAGATTAAGAACCCGAATCGAAGAAGAAGGAAAAACACGTCTGTAATCGACAATTTCAAACCCAACAGCTCCTCCAAATCGATTACGGGAAAGATCGACATGAACCAAAGTGGGTATCCGCCAGAGCCAATTCGGAACAGAGCCTTCCAGCGAGTTTCTGGAAAGATCGATGGAGCGTAAGTGCGTCAAATTTCTTAGAAATCTCCAAGAAACAATTCCGGTAAGATTCTTGGAAGGGAGGCTAATTTCTTGAACGGAGCAGTGAACCATAATCCAGGAGATATTGAAGCCGGAAACGGTGTTGAAAGCCCTGGAAACAAATAGCCTGTCTGTACTGTTGCAGGCAGAGTCCGCAAAAGAAAACAGAAGCGCCATGAGAATCAGAATCCTGCAAAAACAAAAAGCAGCCATTTTTCTTTCTCCGATTAAGCTCTCGCGATTCATAAACTAGACGAAGAAGTGGAAAGCTGCATATTATTTTTTAATGGAAGTGAAGTGGGCGTTAGAAGTGAGGGCGAAGGTGAGCAATTTGGGAATAAATAAAGTATATAGTATAATATAATGTCGGGTGTTGGAAAATGGTGGGGGGGCGTTTTATATTAACCAATCTTTTTGAAAAATAAAAAAGATATATTTTAGAAAATAAAATTGGGTTATGTTCTTCAATGGATAGGGGACCAGTTCGCGTCATTAATAGCCCTTAAGATAAGTCACGTCACATGTGAAAACTAGTTTATTTCTGTTATTTAATAATAATATGAATATAAATGAATAAAATAATATATAGAAGAATTTGAAAAATATATATTTAAATGAAATTGAAATGGATGGTAATGATGTCATAACAGTCAACGAGGGAAGTCTGACTCAATGGTGAGTATCACGGTAACCGCAGCGCAGAACACGGGACAGGTACGCCATGATTTACATCGAAATACCACTCCAATATATATTTATATATTTTTTTAATTTTTTTGAGAATTTGTAATTGTATTGTATTCCACAATTTCAAATAAATAAATCCACTTTTTATTTTCAATTATACATTTCAAAAATGTAATTTAAAATATAATTACATGTTGAAATAATAATTTGATTTGGCATCTTAGGTTGACGAAGTCGTGATAGACGACTTGTCTTGTGGGGTCCAGATGAATGGAAATCAAGAATTTATCATAAAAATTGTAAAAAGAAAAAAAAAAAATATTGTAATTTATAAAAGACCAAAATAAAAAGAAAAGGGGGAAGTCAAGAGCGTAAGCTGTGAAGGCTAAATGAGCTCCGCGTATTCTCCATCAATACCAAACTTCTTCCCACTGTTTTAGATTTAATAATTTAAAAAAAAGAAAGTTTGCTTCCACGTATCAACAATAGATTATGATGGTCGTCCTCAAGATGTGTTAAATAACTTAAATCAAAACATAAGAGAGGTACGATGATTGTATAATAACGACTTAGGGTTATATTGAAGGGGTATGCAAGCATGGAGTAATTCACTAAATTAGGGTTTATGTTGTATTTATGGCAACTAGCGAACATTGATTTTGTTCGTTTTGATTAGGGTGTGTTAGTTATATGTAAGTATAAAATGAATGAAAAGAAGAAGAATATGATTTGATCCATAGGGTCCAAACAGAAACCAAGATTGGTATAATCTAACATTGAAGGGAGTTGATTAGATAGATGGGTCACATGGGGACCCAGACCAACCTAATATCTGAATCCCAATCCACTCTATTTCAAATGGACAAATTCCAATGGGTTTGGAAGTTGGCGAAGCAGCAGCCTATTCTTGTAATAAGGCATTAAAAAGTGGTGGATTTTCACCTGCTCTCTCACGTGACATATTTGGCTTCTTTATTTGCCATCTTCTTCTATCCATTTACGGCCCTTCGGGGATTCCCACATACTTCCAAATCAAAGTTCCAACTCAATTACACCCTTCCCTCCTCCCCTCTCCATAAAAAGTTTACGTTTTTATCATGTTTTAACATCTTTATGTGTGCAATTTTATGACTTTTGCTCTTGTCTCCACACCTACGCAACTCTTCCTTCTTGGTGTCATCCTTATTTTGTAATGTAATAAACCATCTTTTGCTATAATAGGTTTCTCGGATTCAAATTCACCCATCCATTCGTGTATATAGATTGGATTGGTGACATGATATGATTTACTTACCGTTCAGGTTGGATTTGGCTTGGGTTGTTGGATGATGAAAGTCCCACGTCCAGCTAATTTAGGGAATCATGGGTTTATAAACAAATAATATGAGGCCTCTTGAGGAAGCCCACATGAGAGCTTATGCTCAAAGTGGACAATATCAATACTATTGTGGAGGGTCGTGTTGGTCTAACAAATATGATTTATTTACTGTTCAGGTTGGATTCGACTTGGGTTGTTGGGTAATTTATTTTTTTATTATTAAAATTTTGTTTATTTATCTGTAATAACTAAAATATCAAATATTTTTAATACTCATGCGAGCACTATTATTTGAAATTAAAAAAAAAAAAAAAAAATTCCAACCCCACCCATCGAATTGAATTTGAGATTTCCCTCTCGCCAAGCAAGTGGTCAAACCTAAAAACACGTGCAAGAGAAATGGGCCATCAAGCCCAACAAGTTGGTGGACCGAAACACAATGAAGCCCAATAAGATCTGGCTTCAAAATCAGGCCCATTTTCCCCACTTTGTGAAGTGATTCAATTAGTTTTTGTTTTTTAAATTGGTACGCCGGACATGCCTCTGTCCTCCAACCTTAAGTTTGACAACACCAACAAATAATTGAATGATTAAGCATTTTAAACAAATGATATCATTAATGACATTTGGAGATGATTTAGGACATGGGTTATTCGTGTAAACAGACATGGACATGATAGCGCAAGAAGAACAACAAACAACTTCTAAATTCTTTGTGTCTTTCTTTCCTTCCTTGCTTTGCAAACAGCCACTGCCTCGGTCGCTGGATTTATATTCCAAGGCGTAGGAGGAAGTTGAACAAGACAAGGAAGAGCTTAATGAGCTCAGAAGGATTACACATTCAAGAAAACGTAGAGATAGGATAAGATTAAGAAGAGAAGCGGCCTTCTTCTTCTTTTTCTTTCTAATATTAATTTCTAGAAGACAGAACTCAAGCACCTGCCTAAACATTATTATGTGGTTGGTTGTTCATTTCCTTCCCAAGTCCACACAATGTCCTTAAGGCAAGGCCTCATGTCTTTGTCGTAAAATTTCCTGTATTCCAATGTGTCCCCTGCTGTTTTCGTCACCTCCACCACAAAAAATGAAGGCGTCACTTCAAATATCTCTGCGTCTATAGCCAATTGTCCTTTTCTCCCCTGTTTGCTCCCCTGCAGTTTCACTAACCCATCTTTCTTCATCACCTTGAACCTTTCCATTTCTGCTATCTCTTCAAACTTCGACACGATCGCCGACTCTGGCTTCGTTGTCGTGAAACGTGACTGCGGCCTCTCATTCACGTCGCTCTCGAACAGACCCGACAGATCAAAACCTGGCGACAGAGATATGATGTCGAATGCATTGAAGGAATGGTTTCTCCTTGGGGTTCTGCCTGCTGGTGGTGTTCCACTCTCGTTGCTGGTACTAACAGAGCCTTCCTCCGAGCTGCTGTCGTCGAAATCGATGTGGACGTCGCTCACACCCGACATGTTTCCGTTGATTTGAAGCGGCTTTGGAGTTGCTACATTTGCGCTGAAACCCTTTTTGAACCATGAATTTTCCATTAGTTTGGCCATTTTTATTCTGGTTTGTGGATTTGGGTCTAGGATTCTTGAGAGCAGCTTGCGAACTTCTGGGGGAAACCAGTGAGGGCATTTGAATTCTCCTCTCGAGATTTTTCTGTACATTTCCATTAGATTTGGGTCGTGGAAAGGGAGATAACCCGCCAGAAGAACAAACAGGACAACCCCAGATGACCAAATGTCAGCTTTAGCTCCATCGTACCCTTTTTAGCAATAATTAAACGCAACAAGAACACAAATCAATACAGGGCATTATGAGTTGTTGTTATTTAAATTGAATCAAGAAATAAAAATGAAACCTTTCTTGTTGATGACTTCAGGGGCGACATAGGCAGGGGTGCCGCAAGTGGTATGAAGAAGCCCATCTTGCCGCCTAGACTCAGCCAAAGCACTCAACCCAAAATCAGAAATCTTGAGATTCCCAAACTCATCAAGAAGGAGATTTTCAGGCTTGATATCTCTATGGTAGACGCCACGGCTATGGCAATAATCAACAGCGCCAATTAGCTGCTGAAAGTACTTACGAGCAGCGTCTTCCCTGAGCTTGCCTTCAGCCACCTTATCAAAAAGCTCCCCACCTTTGACATACTCCATGGCAAAATAGATCTTGGTCCGGCTAGCCATGACCTCGTAAAGCTGCACTACATTGGGATGGCGAACAAGGCGCATCACAGAGATTTCCCTCTTGATTTGGTCGATCAACCCAACACGCATCACTTTCTCTTTATTAATGACCTTGATGGCCACGCTCTGGCCTGACTTAAGGTTACGAGCATGGTAGACTTTGGCAAAAGTGCCCTGCCCAAGCATCCTCCCAAGCTCGTACCTTTGCATTAAAATGGAACTCTTCTTCTCCATTTCTTTGGATGGGGAGAAGAACAGAGAGACAGAGAGACAGAGAGACAGAGAGACAGAGAGACAGACAGGGATTGAAGAGAGAAACTCAACCTTGCCTAAAGGAGGCAGGGTTGAAGGATCTGTGGTGAGAAAGTGAGAAAAAGGGAAGAATTGTTCGAGAAGTATTTGGAATGCGAAAGAGGAAGGTTTTGGAGTTTGGTTGTGGCTGAGAATTGTGATGGGTAACAGAAATACCGGAAGCTGACCGACTAAATTTAGGATGGCCTAAAATTGGCATTCCAAACGATGGGTATCAAATCTATAACTTTGGAGTATACAAAGAATGGCCTTTGGGGGCCAAATTAGGACAAGTGGCCAACGCATGTGAGGGTTATCATCATATGCTCCCTCTGGGATGTAGTTTATGGTTACCTGTTGGTGTAAGATATGCATATACGAATAGAGTAGATATCCCAAATCATTCTCGTCTCATGATTTGTTTTGAATTAAAATCGTCTAGTTTGAATTTAACCATCATCATCTAAGTCATGCGCTTGTGATTAGTTTTGAAAAATCATAACCATCATGTTTAGTGGTAGAGATATTTATTGACCTGCAAGATTGTTTAACTTAAAAGATTTATGTACCAGTTTTATGTTGTTTACAATTTGTAAACTATATTCTCAAAAATAAAAAAAAAAATTAAATGATTATATTAAAAAATTTAAATTAATAGATTTGCTGCAGTGTTCTAGAATTTTCTTATTTAATATTCTATAAAATAGTTCCTAAAATTAAATTTTAAAGTTTATGCAGAAGTAGTCTAGGTTCAACTTTTTATTGATTTTGGAGAAAATATAAATAAGCAACCTGAAAAGATAAATTTAAATATAAAGTATTGGATGAAAATTTATAATATAATTATTTAGTATAATTTAAAGCATAGA